GCAGGTCGCGGTGTGGGTGGACGTCGCCGCCGCCGTCGCCGACGGCGTCGCGTTTTTCGTGCTCACGCCGGGCGTCGGACGCGATGGGGTGTTACATCCGCGGTACTTTCACCGCGCGTGCCGAGTGCTCGATCGCGCGAGCAGGGAGGGTGAGGCGCTGCCGCTGGCGGACGCGGCGGCGTGGAAGGACGTCGCCGAGAGCGACGACGACGACGGCGACGGCGCCGCGACGGAGGAAGGAGGAGGACGCGAGGCGGGCGGCTCCGAGTCGACGCCGAGCCGGTTTCCCGCGCGGTGGGGCCCGGAGCCGCTCGCGCAGACGATGGACTACCGTCCGCTACCGGGAGGGTACGGCCACGGAAGCGGCACGCTCGCGAGGTGGATACAGGAGAACATGGACGCGGACGCGAAGGGACGAGACGCGAACCAACTCGGGTGACGACGTCGAGCGGCGCCGACGTTTGTTACGAGGAAATAAACTGAGCATCTATCTCATGGAACGCGCGCGCGCGCCCGACGCGTCGACTCGACTCAGCGCGTCATCGACATCGCGTACACGAACTGGTTGAAATCGATCGTGATCCTCCCAACCTGGGTCGCGTCCGAGCGATCGAACGCGTCGAACGCCTTCCTCGCGCCGAAGAAGAAGAGAGAAAACGCGATGTACTGATCCAACGACAGCGAGAAGGACTGGTCGGGATCGAACGCCTTCATCGCGGTCGCGACCGCGGTCTGCTCCACGTTCCCGAACCCAGCGTGTTGAAGCGCCTGCGTGCACTCGCCCGCGTCGAGCGCGCCGTTCTTAGACCTGTCGAAGTGCTCGAACGACCCCCGCACGTTGTTTAGGAACGTCTGCATCTCTTTGAACTCGTCGTAATTGAGCGCGTCCGGCGTGGAGTCGTTCGGGTTCGAGCGCTTGTTGTGAAGCTTCACGAGCTGCGCGCACGTCTGCATGCTGAGCACGAGCCCGGTCGCGGCGAGCATGTTCTGCAGCTCCTTCGGGGAGACGGTCCCGTTGTGATCCATGTCGCACGCCTTGAACTGCTCCCACGCGGGATCCGTCGCGGCCGGCATGGCGTAGCCGACGGGCACCGCGTAGGTGGGCTGCACGAAGTAGCCGGGCTGCTGCGGCGCCATCATCACCTGCTGCGGCTGCATCACGACCCCGGTGGGGACGGCGTAGCCGTAAGACATCCTCAGAGAGGAGGGGGGGGGGGCGGCGAGTGCGGCGGGGGACCAAGAGTGAGGAGACGACGGTTGGGCGCCGCGGCCTCGTCCAGTCTTCGACGCGACGCCTTCGAGAATCTTATTCCGCCAGCTGGCGGATTTCTTTTCGTCGGCGCGTCCGAGGCACCTGTCCGAGGCGAGAGGGAGGCGGGTCGTCCTCGACCACGACGGGCGTCGTCCGCCTCGCCCGCCGTCACTCGAACGCGACGCGCGCGCGCTCGCTCGAGGATGACGTCGTCGCTCCCGAGGATCCGGACCGTGGCGGGCGACCGCGCGATACGACTCAACGCGACGCGCGCGGAGGCGGAGGAGGACGCGAGCGGGCTTTTGCGCACCCCCGCGGCGGGCGAAGCGAAAGCGACGAGACGCGCGGATATCGCGCCTCCGACCGCGGAGCCGCGCCCCCGCGCCGCGGACGCGGACGCGCGGCGACTCGTGTCGCGCCTGCGAGAGGTCCTCGCGACGACGACCGTGGGCGACCTCGTCCGCGCGAAGACCGCCGCGCGGCGCGCGTCGCGCGACGTCGACGGCGTCCTCGTCGTGGACGCGAAAGACAGCGTCGGAGACGCCCTGCGCGCGCTGTCCGAACGCGGCGTCCTCTCCGCGCTCGTGACCGAGCGCGACGAGGAGGACGACGACGAGATGGAGGAGGATGAGAAGGAGAAGAAGAAGAAGAAGAAGAAGAAGAAGAAGAACCCGCGCGCGGTGCGATACCGAGGGTTCCTGTCCGTGAACGACGTCGTGCTCGACCTCGTGTCCAGGGGCGCGGACGAAGACGCGCGCGAGACGCTCGTGCGCGGACTCGCCGCCGTCGCCGCCGGCGGCGGCGCGGCGACGGAAGTCGAACCGTCGCGCGAGGAACTCGAACGGGCGCGCGAGGCGTGGAACTGGCCGTCCCTCCCCGTGAGCGAGATCATGTCCCCCGTCAACTGGCAGGACGGACGCGTGATGTTCGCCCCCGACGACCCGTCGTTTGACGGCGTCTCGGCGCTTTCGCTTGTGGCGTCGCGATTTTTTCACGACGATCCCTCCGGCCCCACGTGTCACCGCGTCGCGTTGATGCGACGCGTAACGCCGTTCGAGGACGCGTTACACACCCACGAGCGCGCGACAAACGCGCGCGGCATCACGCACGGCGACATCGTCTCCATGTCCGACGTCGTCCGCTCGCTCCTACGCGACGCGTCGTCCGAAACGGCGGAGGCAGACGCCGATCTCGCCGCGCTCCTCGAACGCGTCACGCTGCGAGACCTTCGCCTGGACGAGAGCGTCGTGTTCACCGTCGACGCGGACTCGCCCGCGTTCGAGGCGTTCGAGCAGATGACGCGGCGCGGGCTGAGCGCCGCGGCGGCGGTCGGCGCGAAGAGGGGCCGCGATGTGAGCGGCGGCGGTACAGCTGGCGGCGCGAAGGACGTGGTGGGTAACGTCAGGTGCGTTCTATACACTGGTTCCCATACGACCGCGTTCGCGTGGTGAACGCCGATCCTTAAGGACTTTTGCCGTCGTTTCTCTCCGCTCACCCCTCGCTTTCAATCCCCGCCCTCGACGCCTTTCAAATCCACCTGACGCCTTTGAACTCCACCCCGGGCAACGTCAGCGCGTCGGACGTTCGCGGCGTCCTCCGCGGGCACTCGCTCGCGATGCCGCTGCGGGAGTACCTCGCCAAGGTGCGCGAAGACGACGCGGCGTCCTCTTCCTCTTCTTCTTCTCGTTCTCCTCCCACTCCCACTCCCACGCCGCCGCCGCGATTAGTGTTCTGTCATCGGTCGAGCACGTTCGCGTCCGCGGTGAGGTTGCTCTCCGACGCGCGAGCGCACCACGCGTTCGTGTTGAGAGACTGCGACGGCGACGCGGCGGTCGCGGCGAGCGCGGTCGCGGCGCGGACCGTGGGCGGGGTGGACGTCGCCGTAGACGATCTGTGCGGGATTATCACGCTCACGGACGTCCTGAGGAGGATCTGCTTCGAGGACGCGTGCGAGTGAGGCGTCGCGCACGTGAGGCGGCGGCGGCGGCGGCGGCGGTTGCATTTTTTTTTCAGACGACGATCAGAGCGATCCAAACAGAACCGCGTCACGTTCTTCATCTCATTCCGTCTTCCACCGAGCCTCGCCCTCCCCCCCTCCCACCGAGACGGCGGCGCCATGGCGATGTTCCTGGGGCTCGCCGGCGCGGCGTACAGCGCGTACGGCTCCGAGTGGGTGAGCGACTACGCCACCGTGGGCGGCGCGCTCAAGTCGAACTTCAGCGCGCTCGGACCGTTCAGCGCGGGCGACGTCACCGTCGGCCTCGTGTACCTGTGGGATCACGAGAAGAGCAAGCGCAGGGAGTCCGACCCCGCGACGTGCTCGAAGCCGCAGCCCGGGGACCTCGGCCCCGGGCCGTCGCCGGACGTCCTCGACGACTTCCGCGTCTTGTGCGCGATGTCGCAGGTGGCGTACTGGGAGGACAAGGACGCGGTGGCGAAATTCATGAAGCGTCACGGACACGAGGTGATCCATCACGACAACAAGACGGCGTTTCAAGAGCCCGCGTACATCGTGAGCGACTGCCGGGAGAAGAAAGAGGTGATGTTCATCATCCGCGGGACCTCCGGCGCCGCGGACGCGCTGACGGACGGCGACTGCGCGCCCGTGCCGCTGGACAGCGCGCTTCCGGAGTTCCAGGGCGCGACGGCGCATCGCGGGATGAAAAAAGCCGCGGACTGGCTCCTCAAGGAGTGCCTCGTCAAGCTGAAGCGAGCGATGGACGGCATAGGCTCCGGCGCGCGACTCACGGTGACCGGGCACTCGCTCGGCGCGGGCAGCGCCGCGATCGTGTCCATCCTCCTCAGAGAGCACTTCCCGAAGATGCGCTGCGTCGCGTTCGCGACGCCCGCGTGCCTGGATCTGTCGGCGTGCGTCGCCGCCGGCGCCGACGTCAAAAATCCTTTCATGACGTCCGTCGTCCTTCACGACGACGTCGTCCCGCGCGCGTCGCGGCAGAACGTGGACGACCTGAGAGTGCGCATACAGAGCATCGACTGGTATTCGCAGGCGACGGACGACTTCAACGCCTCCAAGGCTGGCAAGGCGGCGGCGTATACCAAGGTGGGCGTCGGCGCCGTCGTCGGAAAGGCGTCCTCAGTGGCGGGCTACCTCGGCGAGAAGTTCGCGGCCGCGACGAAGGAGGGCACGAGGGGGGGAAGCGCGAAGGCGACCGCGGGGAGCGCCGCGAGCGCGGCGAAGAGCGGCGCGGTCGCGGGCGCGAAGGCGACGACGTCGTTGGCGAAGTCGTTCGGCGCGAAGCTCGGCTTTGGAAAGAAAAAGTCCGCCGATGGGGATACGAGGGCGGCGGGCGACGAGGCGCCCGCGGGCGCCGCGGACGGCGAGCGGATGTTCATCGCCGGCGACGCGTCGAAAGACGACGCGCCCGCTCCGACGTTCTACGTCCCCGGCGTGGTCTACCACCTCCGAAGAGGGCCGACGTGCGCGGGAGGGAGCGTCGCGAGGGTCAAGCCGGACTGCGCGTCTCTGTGCGCGATTCAACTCTCCGGGTCGTTCATCAACGACCACTCGCTGAACGAGTACGTCGAAGCGCTGGACGCGCTCGCGATACGGAAGTCTCCGGGGAAGCCGAAGGAGGAGATACGGGGCAAGCTCGAGTGGCAAGAGGCCGGGGAGACGAAGTACAAGGTCGGGATGACGAACTGGAAAGAGCACGAGACGTTTGTCCTCGCGCACGAATTTTGTCTGAAGAAGAAAAACGAGGACGGAGAGCTGATGCCGAAGAAGGTCGACCTGTATCGCGGCGGGTACGTCCTCGAGAACGAGGGCGACGCCGGGCACGACTTCAAAGGGAAAGGCCCGCACGGGATCAAGATCGTGGACCCGACGAAGAAGAAGGACCCGATTCGGTTGTACGTCCCGAGCGGCGAGAAGGATTTGAAAAAGTGGATCAAGACGATTCGAAGGTGCATCGAAGGCGACGTCGAGGATCCGAAGTGCGCGCCGGAGCCGCTGTACAAGTGAGCGCGCGCGCCCGCGCGCGCGCGCGTAGTCTATTGAGTAAGACGTATTGTTATCGCCATTGCGAACGCGCGCGTTATGATGGACTAACGTTCATCTCAGACCGTCGCCCTCCACCTCGCCGTGCAACGCGTCCATGATGCGCCACAACTCCTCGCCCACGGACTCCTCTCTCGCGACGTCGGACGGCTCCAACTTTAACACCGGCCCGTCCGCGAAGCTGCTCTCGGTGCCGAAATACCCCGCGGTGTGCTCGCGCGCGACCGCGTCCGTCGACGTCGCGCAGTACACCGGCGCGGACGCGCCCTGTCGCGGCGACTTGATGAGCGCCCACTGCACCGGCTGAGACGCGTAAAACGCGAGCGGGTGCATGAACCGCGAGAGGTTCGTGCGGACCATCCCGGGCGTGCACGCGTGCACGACGATGGAGTCCCCGTGCGCGGCGCGCGTCTTCCTCGCGAGCGTCAGCGTCAGCGCCGTCGCCGCCTGCTTCGCGGTGCCGTACGTCTTGAACGTGTCGAACGCGAACGGGTCGCTTCCTTCGTCCGCCGCGCCGTCCGCCGCCGCCTCGCCGCGCTCGCCTCCCCGGCTCTGGAATATCTCCCTCGGGTCCCTCGTCATCGCGCCGTTCTCGTCGCACGCCCACACGAGCCGCTTCGCGACGTCGCCGGTCTTCTCGAGCTTCGAGCCGACGTATACGATCCGCGCGGCGCCCGGCGCGTCGCCTGCGTTTTTCGCCGCGCGTCTCAGGGTCGTTCCATACGAAGCGATGTCGGGGTGGAGTTCATAGGCGTCAGTTGGAGTTGAAAGGCGTCGATGGCGGGGATTGAAAGGGAGGGATGAGCGGAGAGACGCGCCGGGAAAAGTCCTTGAGGATCGGCGTTCACCACGCCGACGCGGTCGTATGGGGACCAGTGTATAGAACGCACCTCAGCGACGGCAACATCAACCGCGACAGCAGGTGCGGCGCGAGGCAGCACACCTGGAACGTCCGCTCGTGCCCGTCCGCCGTGCTCGTTCGCGTCTTGTACATCGCCCCCGCGTTGTTCACGAGGACGTCCACGGCATCGCGCGGGCCTTCGAACCCGGACGCGAACGATCGAACGGACGCGAGCGCGGCGAGGTCGAGCTCGCGCACCTCCACGGCGTCGTTGCCCGTGGAGGCGACGATGTCGCTCGCCGCGGACGCCGCGCGCGCGCGGTCGCGGCACGCCATGACGACGCGCGCGCCCCTGGACGCGAACTCGCGCGCGATTTCCTGCGGTGCGGACGGAGGAGGAGACGGGGGACGTGGAGGCGGCGATGAGTCGCGACGGACGATGAGAGCGAGACGACGACGAGCGTCGAGGACGACGTCGGCGGGTCGAGGGTGCCGTTCGGCCGCCGGTGGTCCGGGTCGCGGGGACGCGCCAGACCGATCCCAGAGTTGGCGCCGGTGACGACGCACAGCTTTCCCGCCATGCTCGCGGGCGCGGACGTCATGACCCAGACCGCGGCGGAGGACGCGCGGCGGCGCGCGAGCGGTGGAGTGCCGCCAGGCGATCTGATGGTTGTTATTATTTCCGCCACGCAGCTCCGTTCAGTCTAGTCATCTCGTTGGATCGAAGCGCGCGTTCGTCGTCGTCAGTCCGCGTCCGCGTCGCGGCGGGTGCGCGCGCGACCCGCGCGCGGGCGGTCGTCGGCATGCACGACGCGTCCTCGGGCCCGCGCCGAGGGAGCGGCGCGCGCGCGCCGACGGTGACCCCCGCGGTCGCGGCGCTGCGAGGGTACTACGGCCTGGACGACGGCGCCGGGGAACGGTCGCCGCGCGGGGTCGCGACGCTGGCGCGCACGCAGAGCGGCGGCGACTTGCCGTCCTTCTCGAGCGGCGTCGGCGCGATAGACAGCGACCTGCGACGGAGCTCTAGCCTCGCCGCGAGCGGCAGCGGCGTCGGCGGCGGCGTCGGCGGCGGCGGCGTCGGCGACGGGCGCGAGAAGAAGAAGTTCGCGATGCGCGAGCCGGGGTCGTCGTTGGGAGGGAGAAGACAGGAGGGGGGATTCCAAGGAAGAGACCGCGCGCTGATGTCGCCGCCCAGAGTGGCGACGGCCTCGGGCGCGGCGATCGTCCCGGGCGCGAACGTCGCGAGCGGCGGCGCGGGCGGGGGCTTCCTCGGGAAGCTGAAGTCGGCGGCGGCGGCGGCGGCGGCGGGCGGCGGCGGCGGCGGGGGAGGGGGGAGAGGCGGCGTCGGCGGCGCGTCGCGACCGCCCCACCCCGGGCAGAGCATCGCGAAGAGAGCGGGAGGAAGAGGCGGGAAGGGCAAGGGAGATTAGATCCGACCGACGCGGCGTCCGACACAACACTAGCGAGCGGACGAAGCCGAACACGAAACGCGAGTAGCGCAGACGGCGTCGTTTTGGTACTGTACACGTACGCGCGACGCGCGCTCTACAGAACACACCCTGGATCCCCCCCCCCAACACACAAACAACACAAACACACGTCCTCTCCGCGCCGATGCCCTACCGCGGCGTCGTCAAGAACGCGAGAGGGTCCAGCGGCGTCTCCGCGGTGTTCGGCGTCGGCACCGGGTCCCGCGGCGACGTCACCCACTTTTCTAAAACCGCCTTTCGCAAGCTCCGTCCATCGCTCCGCAACCCGGGCACGTTCCCGACGACGCCGCCGTCGCTTCCTCCGAGCGCGAGCAGCGGCGTCCCCGCCTCGTCCGGCGCGGAGAGATCCGAGCACAGCTTCAGCGCGGGCGGTCGCCTGAGCTTCTTTCGCGACGCGACGGACCGGGGTCCGCCGTCGCCGCCGCCGCCGCCGCCGCCGTCGCCGTCGCCGCCGCCGCCGCCGCCGCCGTCGCCGTCGCCGCCGCGCGCGCGCTTCCCGTCGCGGCGTCCCGAAGGCAGCGCGCTCGGGAGGTCGCCGAGGAACTGCGACCCCCCCGGCGTCGGCGCGTTGGATCCGCCGCCGCCGCCGCGATGCGCGCGCCCCGGGTTGGCCTTCTCCGCGGCCGCGATGGCGGCGTCGCGCGCGATCCGCGACGCGCGGTCGCGGCTCCGCGGAGACAGCGCCTCGAGAGTCTCCACCGCCCTCGCCTCGGCTTTGTCCCAGAACCTCGGCGTGAACGCGCGGTCCAACTGGCCGCCGCGCGACCCCGGGGTGAGGCCTCGGCCGTCGCGCGCGCGGTGGCTGCTGTTGCGGTCGGACACCGTCAACGGCGCGGGCTTCTTAAACGCGGGCTTGCTCGCGGAGTCGCCGGAGGGTCCGGTTTTCTTCTTCACCGAGCCTGGCGCGACGAAGCGAACGGACGCGATCGTGAGTCACCGCGCGGGGGGAGGGGAGGGACGGTCGCGGCCTCGCGAGCGGACGCGGGGTATCGAGGCGAGGACGAAGACGCTCGTCGCGGCGGCGGCGACGACGACGCGATGGACGCCGCGGGGGAACGCGCCGCCGCGCGCGCGCGCGAGACGCCGCGGGAGGCCGCGGCGCGCGCGTCGTCGCGTTGTTGACCGAGGCCGCGGGACGACGAGGTTTCGCGATCGACGGACGGAGGGACGCACCGTTCGCGTTTCGTCCCGGCGCCGGCTTCTCGTGGTTGTGCTCGCCCTCGTACGTCAGCGACGACAACAGCGAAGGGTCGCCCTCGACGTGCTTCCGCGCCGGGCAGTTCGCGCTCGTGCATCGGTAGTACGACCGCGGGAACGGCGCGCCTTTGATGATTTTCTGGCCGTATTTCCTCCATCGGTACCCGTCGTCGACGCCGGGCATGACGCGCGTGAAGACGTGCGCGCGTTAGCGAGTCGCGCGTGCTGCGCGTGTCGTGGTCTGCGCGCGCGTGCGAGGGCGCGGGCGGAGGCGGTGGATATCGAGCGTGCCGCGGGTCCACGAGAGTGGGCGCGCGCGAGCGAGTGTCGGGATCCGGGCAACGAAGCGACGAACATCATCGATCGCTCATCAGCTGTCGGCACTTTCGGTCAACGTTTTTTTGTTGGCAGGTTAAAAACGGGCCCATATTCCACCACACTTTTCGCGTGTGAGTCTGTTTTCTCCAGCTCGGATCGAATGCTGCGTGCCTTCACAAGCGGTCGCGCTCAAACGTTCCATCGCGCGCGCCGCGTCTCTTCCCGCGCGCGCCATGGCGACCGTCATCGCGGGTATCATGACCGTGACCGGTGCGTCCGCGTCGCGCGCGAGCTTCGTCGCGATCGAACTCCCCGGCCGACGCGCCGCGCGGACGTCGCGCCCGCGCGGCTATTCGAATCGCGTCGAGCGCCCTCGCCCGCCTCGACTTCGTCAACGTCCTCTTTCCTTTCCATCTTTTTTTCCATTCGATCGACGACGCCTCGCGCGCGCGCGCGCGCGCGCGACGCCTCGATCCTCGTCCGTCGACTGACGCGCCGTCCCCTCTCCCCCCGCGCTCGTCCTCGCAGTCGTCCAGGCGGATCTCCCCCCGGAGGAGAAGGGCCCGAAGCAAGTCAGCGTGAAACGTGCGTCTCGCGTCGCCTCGCATCCCGCCGTGTCGAACGAACAGAACGACTCGCGCGCGCCTCAAACTAATCTCAACTCGCCCCTTCCCCTCCTCGCGCAGTCGAGCTTCGCGAGTCCGCGGACGTTCGCCAGAAGGCGAAGACGTCCGTCCAGCGCGTCGTGGAGAACGTCATCAACTTCGACGAGTCCATGAAATTGTGCGTCTCCCCGCGCCCGCCGTCGCCGTCGTCGCCGTCGTCCGTCCTCGCGCGGCCGCACGAGATCTTGTTCTGTTGTTTCCCTTTTCGATCGATCGTTCGCGCCCGTCTCTCCCTCCTCTGACCGACGCCGCGCGTCCACCCGCCCCCCAACGCGCTCGCGCTCCCCGCAGCAACGTCCCCGCGTCATACGCCGGCGAGTTCCGCATACAGCTGTACAAGCAGAAGGAGAGCGTCATGGGCGGCAAAGCCGTCGTCGCCAACGCGGGCATCTTCGTCAAGAACATCGTCGCGCACGTCGTCAACAACGGCGCCATCGATAAGACGTTCAAGCTCTTCAGCAAAGACGGCAGCGCGTCCGGGGGTTCCGTGCGGCTGCTCATCGACTTCGAGCGGTTCCGCGACGCGATCGTCGTCCCACCGGGCGAGAAGTTCGACATCGACGCGCACAAGGTGAAAGAGGACGTCGCGGCGACGAAGCTGCAGAGCGCGTGGCGCGGGAAAAAGGCGCGCGACGAGCTTAGGCGCGTTGGGTCGGGCGGGGCGCTCCGGGCGCTGCTCGCGGTCGCGGCGGCGGCGGTCGTGGGCGGGCTCGCGTTCGTCGTCGCGAAGGGCGCGGAGGGCGGCGGGAGCGCGGTCGGGTCGAAGAGCGGCAAGGGGAAGAAGAAGTGATCGATTGGACGCGAGAGAGAGCTGCGGACTGACTTTGAACGACGACGGAAAAATATAATGTTGCGCCCGCCCCGAGCGTGGATCTCGTCTTCACTGTCGCCCGCGGCGCCGAGCGCCCACCTCGTCGTCGTCCGTCATGCCGGGCCCGGGCGACGCCGCCTCCGAGGCCGCCGCCGACGCGGAGATACGGAGGTGCGCCGTCGCGCCTCCTCGCGCCGTCGCGCCTCGTCTTTTCTCGTCGAACGGCACCCGTTCGGTCGCACGCTCGTCGTTCGCTCGATCTCGTCTCATCGTCGCGCGCCCCTCCGTCCTCCTCGTCTCGTCTCGTCGTTCATCAGGATCTTAGCGTCGCGCCCCGTCGCGATCGCCGAGCTCGCGTCCATCGCGCGCGCGCGCGGGCTGCGGCGCGAGGCGACCCGCGCGGACGCGTGGCCGGCGCTCCTCGGCGCGGATCCCGACGACGACGACGACGACGACGACGACGACGCGTCGCTCCCCGCGTCCGAGGCGCGACAGATCGACCTGGACGTCCACCGCTCGCACTGGTTCCCGTCGTCCGAGTCGCCCTCCGCGTCGTCCGGTCGCGACGCGCTCGCGCGGATGCTGAAGCGCGTCGTCGCGCGCAACCCTCGCGCCAGGTACTACCAAGGCCTCCACGACGTCGCAGCGACGCTCGCGCTGCAGTGCGGGTTCGCGGTCGCGGAGGTGGTCCTGACGCGCCTCCTTCGCGGGCACCTGCGGGACTGCGTCGCGGGCGACGGCGTCGAGCCCGTGCTCGAGACGCTGCGGCTGTTGCCCCACCTCGTCGCCGTCGCGGACCCGGAGCTGCATCGAGCCGTGTTCCCGGATCGGTCGTCGTTCGCAGCGGACGCGGCCGCGCGGCGACGCGGCGACGCGGGGGCCGGCCGCGCGAAGGAGGACGAGGAAGCGGTGGGCGAGGTTAAGGATACGAATGATAATAAGGACGAAGACGACGACGACGACGACGAGTTCGTGGTGCTCTCCGCCGCGGACTGCGCGGACATGACGCGCGTCGGCGACTGCCACTTCGCGCTGTCGTGGCTCCTCACGTGGTTCTCGCACTCGCTCGACTCGAAACGCGACGTCGCGCGACTGTTCGACGCGTTCATCGCGTCGGACCCGAGCCTTTCGCTCTACGTCGCCGCCGCCGCGGTCGTCGGCGATCGCGACGAGCTCTTACGCATAGCGCGCGGCGGCGGCGGCGAGGACGCGTCGGAGGCGGTGTCGTGGGACGGCGTCGAGGGCGCCTTGCACTCGCGGCTGTGCGCGCTTCCGGCGTTGCGGCGTTGCGGCGGCGCGGCGGAGGACGCGGCGGAGGACGTCGCCGTCGCCGTCGCCGTCGCCGTCTCCGTCGTCGAGGGGAACTACGTCGACGTGACGCTCGCGCCGAGGACGACGACGACGACGACGACGACGACGACGACGACGACGACGACGACGACGACGACGGAAGACGAAGACGACGCGGTGGAAAAAGTCCTCGAGCGCGCGCTGTCGCTCCGCGAGCGCATCCCGCCGCGCGCGCTGCACGAGGTTCTGTCGCTGCCCGTGCGCGAGCACGGCGCGTTCGGCGCGTACCCGTACCCGTGGCTCCTCGGCGAGGAGATGCCGGACGCGGATCCCGGTCGCCGCGACGCGCGCGAGGCGTTCCCGAAGGACGCGCGCGCCGTGGGGAGGACGACGCTCGAGTGCGGGGACGTGTACGACGGCGAGACGCGAGACGGGCGACGGCACGGGCTCGGCCGCCACGTGTCATCCACGTGGACATACGAGGGGACGTGGCGACGAGGCGCGCGCCACGGCGTCGGGTGCCAGCGCCACGTCTCCGGGGCGCGATACGCGGGCGAGTGGGTCGACGGGCGCGAGGACGGCTTCGGCGTATGGACCCGCGGCGACGATCGCTACGTCGGCGGGTTTCGACGCGGCGCGCGCGCGGGGCTCGGCGTCGCGACGGACGCGAGCGGCGTCGTCGCGTGCGGGACGTGGCGAGCGGGCGCGATGGAGACGCCGACGCCGGCGACGCGCGGCGCGGACGGGATATACGTCTTCGAGATGAACGCCGCGACGCGCGGGGCGGTGACGGAGGCGGCGCGAGCGGCGTGGAACGCGGGGGACGCGGTGAATCGACTGCGGAGCGTCGTCGGCGCGGGGGAGGAGGACAATCGCGCGCCTCCATGGCCGTGGGAGGAGTGCGTGCGCGTCGACGGCGTCGGCGGCGTCGGCGGCGGCGGCGCGTCGACGGCGTCGCCGTCGGCGGCGGCGAGCCTCGACGTCGCCGCGCCGCCGTCGCTGCGCGAGCGCGCGGCGCACGCGACGGGCGCGGCGTCGCTGTTCGCGGCGAAACTCGGCGCGACGATCCGCCGCGGGGCGACGAAACACGCGAAGGCGCTGTCCGCGACGGAGCCCGGTCGGTTCGCGCGCGGCCTCGTCGACGCCGTGAGCGAGCGCGTCAACGCGCGATAGAGAGAGCTCGTTCGATTTAGATTTCGATTTCGATTTCGATTTCGATTTCGATCGCGCGCGACGGTGGCTAACAGCTAACAGCACAGCGCGCGTCGTCGTCGCTCGTCGATCGTCACATGCTCAGCACGTTCGCGCCGGTGTTCGTGACGCTCTCGCTCCCGCGCGTCTCCCCCATGAGCCGCCTCGCCGCGCTCAGCTTGATCGTCATCAGCCGGTGCAGATCCTTCATCATCTCCATCGCGTCGACGCCGCCGTCCGCCGCGTCCTTCACCTCTTTCTGTCTCTGCTTCAGCCGCTTCGCCTCCGCCTCCGCCGCCTCGACGCGCGCGACGTACGTCGCCTTGACGCTCGCGGCGTCTCGCCCGTTCGTGATGCGCCGCACGTGCGCGTCCACGAGCGCGGCTTCGACGTCGGCGAGGCGGAAGCGTCCCTCGTCCGACTTCATTCGCGATTTCATTCGGTTCACCTCGCGCTCCAACGCGTCGTACGTCGACCGATGCGTCGCGGCGGTCGCGTCGTACGCCGCCTTCTTCTCCGCGTGCCGAGCTTCGAGCTCCGCGTGCGACGCCCTGGCCTCGCGCAGGCGCTTGATCTGCGGCGCGAGCTTCCCCTTCCGCTCGTTCACTTTTTTGTTAATCTCCTGGATGAACGCGCTGATCTCCTCGAGCGCCTCGCCCTTCCGCTCGTCAACGCTCGCCTTGGCCCTGGAGACCTCCTCTAACGTCTCCGACGCCGCCGCGAACCCGGTCACGCCCGCGCGTCGCTCCTCCTCCGCGACGTCGCCGGACACGAGCGACAGGCGTTCGCGCAAAATCTCCTCAGTCGACGCCAGCGTCGTCGCCTCCGCGGCGACCTCGTCCAGCTCCCGCTTCAGCTGCTTATACCTCGCGAGCTTCGCCTTCACCGTCTCGAACTTTTGCCGCATCTCCTCGTCGAGCCCGCCGCCGCCCGCGCCGCGCGTCCTCCCCCCCGTGTTGTCCCCGCCCTCCGTCCGCACCGCCCCCGTCTCGTACTCCGACGTCAGCCGGTCTCGCCGCGCCCGCAGCTTGTCGCGTTTCGCGCGCGTCGCGTCTCTCTTCGCGGCGACGCTCTTCGCCACCTGCGCTTGCTGCCGAAGCGCCGCGTCGGCGTCGCGCGCCTTCGTCAGGACCGCGACGCTCTCCTCGAGCTCCCTCGTCTCCGCCTGCAGCGCGTTGACGTCCTCGGTCGCGCGCCGCAGGTCCGAGTCCGCGCGCGCGTCGGACGCCAACACTTCCTTGACGGCGACTGATCGCGCGCGCTTCTTCTCGAGCGCCTCCGGGAGCTTCTCCCTCGCGAGCGCGCGCGCGTTCTCCACCTCGTCCGACAGCGCCGCGATCAGCGCGTTGGGGTTCCCCGACGCGGTGGACGCGCGATGCTCGCGGAGTCGCACCGCGGCGCGTTGGTACTTGGCGTCCGACGCGTCCTTCTTTTCGTACTGCTCTCGGAGCGCCCTCGCGAGCTCCATCTCTTCCTCTCGCGCGGCGCGGAGCGACGTCGCGTGGCGCGTGAGCGCGGCGACGCGCGAGCGGTCGTCCACCCTCGACGCGATCTTGCCCTTCACGACGGCGACGCGCGACGCGATGGCTTCCTTCTCGCGTTCCAACTGCGTCGCGCGCTGTTTCAGCTTGACCGGATCCTTCCCCGTCGCCCTCGCCGCGTCCACCGCCTTGTGGATCTCCACGAACTGCCGCTGCAGCTCGTGCCTCTGGTGGATCAGCTCCTGGACGTCGTCGTCGCGCGTAAACTCGGGCGGGACCGGGACGTCCGCGAGGAAGTGCCCGACGTACGCGCGCTTCGCGCATCGATCGAGATCGCTCAGGACGAACCGAAGCGCGGGGAAGACGACGTCGTGCTCGCCCGCGGCGAACCCCGCGCGCATCGTCAGCGCGTCCGTCGACGGCGGCGGCGCGTACTTGGCGTGTCGAAGGAAGTCCAGGAGCGGGTCCTCGCCGCCGTGGTGGCCGCGGGCGTCGCGCGCGTCGTCGCCCCACGCGGGGACGATCGCGGCGAACGCGTCGAAGCACAGCTCCCGGGTCGCGTCGGGTCCGAGCTCGCTCAGGGACGGGCCGGTGAGGGAGGCGTACCGCGCGCCGCCGAACGGCGGCTCCTTGAGGCGCGCGACGATGAACGCGATGTCATCGCCGAGGACCATGGCGAGACGCGCGGGGCGCGGAGTGCGAAGGGACGCGCGGGATTTTCAAAGTCGTCTTCTTTTTCTCAGAGTGCAGTGCTCGAGAAAATTTTTCACCCACCCGCAGTTTCAACATTTGATCGCGTCCCCTTTCAACTGATCGATGGTTGTTTGGAATGGCCACAAAATCTACGCCCTCTTATTTCAGCTAACCACGCACCCGCGTCCTCGCACGACCGGCGCGACCTTCCCCACGACGTGATCCCTGAACACCTCGCCGATCTTACTCAGCGGCACGCCCCCCTTCATCTCGTGCGGGTCCCTCACCGGCGCGACGCGCGCGAGCGGGTCCGATTTCGGATCCAATCCCGCGTCGACGCCGGACGCGCGCACGTGCCCGAGCACAGCTTTCGCCAACTTTCGGTCCGCCGCCGCCCTCCGCCTCGCCGCCGCTTTCAACGCGCGCAGCGCGACGCGCGTCTCCCTCTCCCCCGAGCTCATCGCGCTCAGAGCGTTCTTCGCCGCGACCGCGGGGGTGAGCACGTCCGCGCGCGCGATGGCGCCGTCGGCGTCAGGATCCGGATCCGTCGCGGACGCGTCGTCGTCGTCGTCGCCGCCGGCGAACGCGTTCACGACGGGCGCCGAGAGAAACGCGCGCTCCTCCTCGGCGCGTAACGCTCGCTGTTCGTCCGTTTCGTCGTCGCTGTCGACGTACCCGCGCTCGATGCCGTTGTCGTCGCCGCTGTCGTTGTCAGGATCGTCGGGGTCGAGCTCGTCGTCGTCGTCGTCGTCGTCGTTCGTCGTCGCGGCGGCGGGCGACGTCTCGGCGTCCCCCGCGTCGCCGCCGCCGCCGCGACGCCGCTCGCCATCCGCGGCGATCCGCCTGCGTTTGTGCACCTCCAGCGCCGCCATCAGATCCTCCCCGGCGCGCTTAAACTGGCACAAGATCGTCCGCGCGCGGCCGCGCAGATACAGCGCCGCGACGTTCCTTCGCAGCGACAGCGACGCGGTGCACGCGGCGATGCACGCGTGCGCGGCGGACGACCCGCCGGCTCTCGAAGCCGAGAGCTTCAGGTGACACCGCGCGACGTTCAAGAGGACGTCTGAGAGCGTCGCGACGACGTCCTCGACGCGCGCGGTCGCGGTCGCGGCCGCCTCCCTTCGCGATCGCCTCGCGTCGTCGTCGTCGGCGGCGTCGGCGGCGTCGGCGGTCGCATCTCCGCCGAGGCCGAAGAGTCGGTCGAACGGGACGCCGACTTCCTCGTCGTCGTCGTCGTCGTCGCCGCCGCCGCCGCCGCCGCCGTCGTCGTCGTCGTCGAACATCACGTCGCAGACGCGGTCGTCTTCCTCGACGTAGGACACCATCCCCGCGCGGGACGAACCGTCCGCGCCCATCACGCGCACGCGCATGCCGACCGTCGGCGTCAGCGCGGGCGCCTTCTTCTTCGTCGCCGTCGCCGTCGTCGTCGTCGTCGTCGTCGCCGCGCGCTCCACCGCCGCGGCGTCCGCGATGCTCTCGTGGACGTTCCAGTCGTTCTCCCGCCCCGGGAGAGCGCGCGCGCGCGCGGGCCCGATCGCGGCGATGAGCCACGCGCACGCCTCGACGTACTCCGCGGCCGCGGTGGCCTCGTCGCCGCGGCGGAAGCGGTCGTTGCCGCGCGCGCGCGACGCCTCCGCGCGCGATCGCGATCGACGATACCCCGACGCCTCCTCCTCCTCCTCCTCCTCGTCCTTCGCGTCGGCGTCGTCCGCGCGGCGCGGCCCGAGCGCGCGCAGCGACACGCCGTCCTCCTCGGTCCCGTCCTCCCACACGACGCTCGCGGTGGCGACGCCCGCGGCGTCGCCGCCGTCGCCGTCGAGGCCCTCGACGTCCGCGACCGTCGCGAGCAGCCTGTCGTCGCCCGTCGACGGCGCGGGGTATCGCAGCCGCGCCCACATCGGCCCCGCGCCCGGCGTCGGGACCGGGTCGCCGTCGGGGGTGACCGTCTCCGGGGCGGAGATCACCGGGCGCACGCGCGCGCCCACGGTCGGCGGCCACATGGCGTCGCGCGCGCGAGAGAGTGACGCGCGTCGGATCTAGGGTTGACCTGACATCGACGCCGCGTGCTCATCAAGGTGCCGACAGCGACATTGCACCGTCAGATCAGAACGCCCAGCGCGTCCGCCGGCGCGACGCGATGGCGGACGACGACGACGACGACGACCCGTTCGACGCGCTGATGGGCATCGACGCCGAGGAGTTCAAGCAGCTGCTGGACGAAGCCCCCGCGAGCGCGGCGGCGGGCGAGAAGGTCTTCCGAGGCGGCGTCGCGGTCGTGGACGACGGCTCCATCTCGCGCGAGGAATTCCGCGCGAGGTTTCTCGTCCCGCGCGTCCCGGTCGTGATCCGCGACGCCGCGTTCGCGCCGACGCACCTCACGCCGGCGTACCTGAGAGCGACGTACGGGGACGTGATCGTGCCGCTGGACGTCACCGCGGCGAATCGCGCGGACGCCAAGTTGGGCGACTTCCTCGACGCGCTGTCGTCGACGTCGTCGTCGAACGCCGCCGCCGCCGACGACGACGACGACGCCGAGCGGTCTAGGTTGAAGTCGCGGTACCTTCGGAACCTTCAGATGCACGAGTGGTTCCCGCGCGAGGCCGCGAAGCTGCGCCTCCCCGAGCGGCTCTTCGGCGCGAACGCGCTCGCGGACGCCGCGCTCGTCCCGCGCTGCCCGGACAGCTGGCGGCGCTGGCACGAACTCTTCGTGTGCGGCCCCGAGTGCGACGGGTTTCCGTTCCTGCACCGCGACACGTGCGGCGTCGCCGCGGCGTCGATGCAAGCGCACGGCGCGAAACGCTTCACGTTGTTCCACCCGGACGACGGTGCGCGTCTGTACCCGCGCGGCGGCAGCGGGCTCCGAAGCGAGATCCCCGCGAGGGCGCTCGCGAAGCCGGGCGGCGTGTGCTTGGAGACGTATCCCGCGTTCGCGCGCGCCAAGCGGATCACCGTCGACGTCCGCGCGGGGGAGTGTCTCGTCGTGCCTCCGGACTGGTGGCACACCGCGCGCGCGGTCGGGGACGAGGTGAGCGTCAGCGTCGCCGCGTCGTTCGTGGACGTCGAGCGCGCGGACGCGTTCAACGACGCGTACGCGGAGTTTGAAGCGCTGAGGTCGCTGGCGAGCGTCGGCGCGGCGACGTGATTCCGTCGGCGTCGCGACGGACGCTCCGCCGCGGTGGGTAGTGGTAGCTTTAGGATAGATACTGTAGGAGAAGATCGCGCTAGGCGCGCGCGTTCACTCCGCGGGCGCGGCGTCGAGACCCATCCCTGGCGGGACGCCGACGTCCGCCGCCGGCTTCTCTCCGCCCGGCTGCGCCGCCGGCGCCGGCGCCGGCGCCGCCTCTCCGCGATCTGACGGCGGCGACTTCGTCCTCGCGCGCTCGGGCGACGGCGACCGCGTCCTCGCGCTCCCCTCCACCAGGTCGCGCAGATGCTTCGGCCCGCCCCCGCCCTGTTCCCTGCTCCGATCCCTCGCGGCCCTGTCCCGGCTCGCGTCCCGCCCCCTCCGGTCCTTCCCTCGGTTTTTTCGGTTCCGACCGCCTCGGCGTCGTCCTCGGCGCGATCCTCCTCCTCCGCCGCCGCGGTCGCGACTCCGGCTCCTGCTCCGTCGGTCGTACGGCCGGCGATCGCGGCTGCGGCTGCGGCTGCGACCGCGGTCGCGGGAGTACCCTCGCGCGCCGCCGCGTCTCGGCGACCTCGACCTCGACCTCGACCGCGACCGCGACCGCGACCTCGACCGCGACTTCGACCCGCCGCCGTCGCCGCCGCCGTTCAGCCGCCTCGAAATCTCCGCCGCGCGCTCCGCCGCGCTCTTCCCCGCCGCCGCCGCCGCCGCGTTCGCCAACAGAATCGCCTGCTGCTGCTGCGCCGCGAGCGTCCGCGCCTGATGCTGCTGCTGCGCCGTGAGATTCGGATTGAGCAACATCGCCGCCGCCGCCGCCGCCGCGGGCGTCTGCGCGAGCCCGACGCTCGCGGCCGCCGCGGAGAGCGCGGGGTCCAGCCCGGGATGGACCATCCCGGGCGGCATCATCACCGGCGGCATCCCGGGCTTGATCTGTCGCACAGTCTTGGACATCTCCACGCGCAGCGGTCGATCCTCCAACGCGAGGCCGTTGAGTCCGAGCCCCGCCAGCGCCTGCTCGTGCGTCGCGTACTCGACGAACCCGAACGCCTTCTCGTTCGCGATGCGACAGTCCGTGACGACACCGCAGAAGGCGAAGATCGTGCGCAGTTGCTCGACGGTGACCCCGGGGGCGAGGTTGCCGACGTGCAGCGTCTTCTGGAGCTCCGCGGCTACTTCAGGAGCGATCGCCGGAGCCGTCGCCGCGGCTCCGGGCGCGACCCCCACCGCGCCGGGCGCGCCGTCTCTCTCCGGCGGGCCGGGCGGGATCACGCCGGGAGGGAGCATCCCGGGGGGGAGGACCCCCGGCGCGCCCGGGAGGACCCCCGGCGCCGCCGGCGCCGCGGGCGCGGCGGCGAAGAACACGGGGAAGGGCGATCCGCTGATCGGCGCGTTCTCCTCGCCGATCCCGACGCTGACGCTGTAATCCCCGCGCGAGGGGACCGCGTAGGTGCACGTGTACGTCCCGTCGCCGTGGTCGTCGACCTCCGCGGCGACGACCTCGCCGCCGCCGAGGCCGCTTCGGACGACGCTGACGTTCACCCTCGCGCCGCCTCGACGGATCTTCGTCCCTTTGGAATCGGAGGCGTAGACGGTGAACTTCACCGGCGCGAGCGCGGTGCCGCCGCCGATGCCTTTGCCCCCCGCGGTGCACCTCGCGGGGTCTAAGACGGCGTCGTCGGACGACGCCATCGTGTCGGTCGTGTGCGGCGGCGACGACGACGACGCGAGATCGCCGAGGCTGCCGGCGCGCAGATCTGGAGTGAATTCACCTCATTCATCGTCCGGAGACCTGACGAGATTTAGGTGCATACTTTTTTTGTTCACCCACCGCTCGGTTTCAACAATCGATCGCGTCTCCTTTCAACTGACCGATAAACTTGTTTTGTATGGAACGCACAACGAACGACGGCTTCGCGCCACTCCGAGATGGGCGCGGACGAGGACGACGCCGAGGAGGAGGCGCGCGAGCGCCGCGAGGCGCGGCTCGCCGCGCGCGACGGCGCCGACGCGCGCCTGACGACGTCCGTCGTCTTCCTGTGCGTCCTCGCCGCGTCCGTCCTCTACCTCGCGACGGTCCCGAGAGGCGCGCGATGGAAGCAGGCGAGCGCGGATCTCCGCGGCTCTTCGCGACGATGGGCGCCCTCGCTTCCCTTCCTGCTCGACGCGTACGACGTCACGTCGTCGCTGCTGGACGTCGCCGCGCTCGCGATCGCGCGCTTACTCTACGCCGCGATCGCGTTCTCGACGGTCGCGCCGTCGGACCGCTCGAGGGCGCGGCTGCATCGCGCGAGGATCGCGGTCGCGGCGATCTCGTCGTCGTGTCTCACCGCGAAGGGCGTCGCGAGGTTGCCCGCGCTGTCGGCCACGACCCGGGATCAGTGCGTCTTCTGGGCCGCGTGGTCGCTCGCGTTCGTCGCCGTGCCCGTGGAGTGGGCCGCCGCGTCGCACGCTATGGCGTACGCGGACCTGAAGTCGCGCGGCCGCGGCTCTCGCCGCCGCCGCCGCCGCCGCCGCGGCGACGACGACGACGACGACGACGACGCGACGGACCTGCTCCTCGCCGCCGACGCGGGCTGTCATTCGGACGAGGAGAACGACGCGGGAGGAGACGACGAACGCAAACGCCGCTCGAAGAAGAAGGACAAGGCGAGCACGCTGGGCGCGCTGCTGAAACTGTCCTACCCGGACCTCCCCATCTTGTCCGTCGCGTTCGCGTTTCTCGTCCTATACGCGATCGCCGCCGCGTCAGGCGCGTTCTATACACTGGTCCCCATACGACCGCGTTCGCGTGGTGAACGTCATTCCTTAAGGACTTTTCCCGGCGTGTCTCTCCGCCCATCCCTTGCGTTCAATCCCCGTCCTCGACGCCTTTGAACGCCAACTGACGCCTATGAACTCCACCCCGACGTTCGCTTGTATGGAATGGCCCTCAGTGCCGCACTTCACCGGGTGCTTGGTCGACGCCGTCGCCATCGACCGCGACGCGGCGGCGTTCCGTCGGTACTCCGTCTCGCTGTTGATCGCCGCGCTCCTCGCGGGGATCTTCGCGGGGCTGCGCGGCAGCGTGTTCACCGTGCAGATGGCGCGATTGAACGCGCGCGTCCGGCGGCGGCTGTTCGACGCGGTGCTGCGGCAAGACGTCGGCTTCTTCGATCTGAACAAAACTGGCGACCTGTCGTCGCGTCTGAACAACGACTGCAGCACGGTCTCGAACGCGCTGTCGCTCAACATCAACGTCATGCTGCGGAACGCGGTGAACGTGATCGGGGTGTTGTGTTTCATGCTCGCGCTGTCGTGGCCGCTGACGGCGGTGACGCTCGCGTCGTTGCCTCCGACGGTGGTCGTGTCGAAGGTGTACGGACGCTACTTCAAAAGGATTAGCAAAAAGACGCAAAAGGCGCTCGCGGAGGCGACGGAAGTCGCGGAGGAGAGCCTGGGGAGCGTCAAGACGATCCGCGCGTTCGCCGCGGAGCCGCACGTCTCCGCTGACTTCGCGTCGCGGCTGCAAGAGTTTTGCCGTCAAAACACGATCGAGGCGAGGTACGTCGTGGGGTACACGTTTTGCCTGACGGCGATGCCCATGATGGTCACCGTGCTCGTGCTGTGGTACGGCGGCATGCTCGTGTTGCGCGGGATGTTAAACCCCGGCGCGCTCGTGTCGTTCATGTTGTACCAGCAGCAGCTCACGAGTTGCTTCTCGTCCATCGCGGACGTGTTCACCGCCGTCGCCGTCGCGCTCGGGGCGGCGGAGAAGGTGTTGGAGCTCATCGCGAAGAGGCCAAAGTTTCACGCGTGGCCGGGACCCGGACCCGGACCCGGAGGAGGGTTCCCTTCGGGAGATGACGGAGATGACGGAGAGGAGATCGCGAGCGCGAGGCTGGTCCCGGAGCGGTGCGTCGGGAGGCTCGCGTTGGAGATGGTGTGCTTCTCGTACCCGTCGCGACCGGATCGTCGCGTGTTGACGGACTTCAACCTCGCGGTGAACCCCGGGGAGACAGTCGCGCTCGTCGGACCGTCCGGCGGCGGGAAGTCGTCCGTGATCAACCTGATCGAGCGGTTTTACGTCCCGGACAGCGGCGTCGTTCGTCTGGACGGCCGCGACCTCGCGGACTTGGACCCGCGGTGGTTGAAACGGCGGATATCGTTGGTGTCTCAAGAGCCGACGTTGTTTAACCGGTCGTTGCGGAGGAACATCATCTTCGGCCTCGAGCGCGCGGAGAAGAAGAAGAGCGCGCGCGGAGGCGGCGCGCGCGGCGGCGGCGAAACCGAAACCGAAACCGAAACCGACGGCGGGTACGTCCCGCTCGCGGGCGACGACGACGACGCCGACGCCGACGACGAGCCGAGCTCGGAGCAGATCGTCGCCGCGGCGAAGGCGGCGAACGCGCACGAGTTCATCGCCGCGCTGCCGGGGGGATACGAAGAAGTCGTCGGCGAGCGCGGGTCGACGCTGTCGGGGGGGCAGAAGCAGCGCGTCGCGATCGCGCGCGCGCTCGTGAGGGACCCGACCGTGCTTCTCTTGGACGAAGCCACGAGCGCGTTGGACGCGGAGAGCGAGGCGATCGTTCAGGAAGCTCTCGGACGCGTGATGGCGAACTACACCGTCGTCGTCGTGGCGCACCGCCTGAGCACGATTCAGAACGCGAGTCGGATATGCGTCGTAGACAAGGGAAGAATCGTGGAGAGTGGGACGCATCGCGAGCTGTTGGAACGCGGCGGCGCGTACGAGAACCTCGTGCGGCATCAGCTGAGCGCGATGAGCGCGTCCGCGGCGTCGTTGAACTCGCTCGATCGAGACGCGTGAGAGAACGCCGACGCGAGAATAGTACCCTAGCTAGCTCGCGCGAGTCTTAAACAGTTTACCGCGCTACACTACGTAGACTAACTCTCCGCGACGGTCTTCTTCGGCGCGCTCTTCTTCTCCTCGCCCGCCGCCTTCCCCGCCTTCGCCTCCCTCTTCGCGGCGAGCGAGAGATACTCCGCCGGGATCGGGTCGCCCCCCGGAAGCTCCCCTCCCGGCCCGTTCGGAAATCGCGGCCGCCGCTTGAGCTTCCTCTGTATCTCGCCCTGGATGCCCTCCGCGCTCCCGAGCCCGCGATTGTACTTCCCTACGATGCCCTGCCCCGCGATCGCTTTCTTCATCTTGGCTCCGATGGAGGGCGCGTTCTTGATCGGCGCCTCGGGGTACAACGCCGCGTGCTCCATGAGACATCTTTCGAGCTCCTTCGTGTACTCCTCCGCGCTGACGCCGGTGTTCTCCAGGAACGCGTTCACGCTCATGCGCACGACCGTCCCGGGCGCCCACCGGTGCGTCAGCCCGATCCTCTCGAGGATGTTCAACCGCGGCTTGAGGTTTTGATGCAACGAAAACGTGCACAGCCGCAGCGCGACGCGAATCTTCGTCCCCGGGAACCGCTCCTCGATGAGGTCGAGCGTCGGCTTGATCTTTCGCTCGACGTGGAAACCCATGACGGACGACGCCTGGGTGAATATGTACGCCGTGATCGCGTTCGCTTCCTCCGCGAGCTTCGCGTCCGCCTCCGGGGAGCCGTCGTGCTCGGGGCGCTCGCCTCGCGCGATCTCGTTCCGGAACCACGACAAGCACCGCGCGCGGACGTACTCCACCGTCGGCCGCATTTTTTCCTCCACGCTGAAGCTCAACATGTTAGGATTCCTCATCAACGCGAGTATCGCGGACTCTTTATCCACCCCGAGCTCGTCCATGAGGAAGTCAAACTTTTCCTTCACGAATTTCGTCCTGTGGGAAAAAATGGTGGGGCACTCCGTCACGAGCCTCTTCGCGCCGATGTGATCCAACCCGAAGCCGTCCTCCGACGTGTAAAACTCGAACTTCGCGCGCATGTTCTTCGCCACGGACAGGGTTAAAAGTTCCGGGGCCCTCCTCAACATGGTGTTGACGACGATGTCTTTATCGATCCCGATCTCCTCGATGAAAAAATTAAACTTGCCGGTGATGTTTTCCTCCGAGCACGAGATGACGACGCCGGGGTACTTGCTGATCATCACCCTCGCGAGGTTGGCCCTGCTCCACCCGGTGAGATCCAACAAGTTCTCCAAACGCGGCCGAAACCTCTCCACCGCCGCGCGACCTAAGATGTTGTTCCTGTCGAGCGGATGATTCCGAATCAGCCCGCGCGCGCCCTCCGTCCCGAGCCCGCACTCCTCGCCGAAGAACGCCACGGCCACCTTGACGTCGTCCTCGAGCGAGAACTTGAACACGTCCACGGCCTGGCTCGGTCTCAGCCTGACCTCCCCGATCAAGTACTCGATCATCGGCCGGATCTCCCTCGAAACGCTCATGGACAGCACCGCCGGGTGCGCGACGACGCACCTCGCCACCTCTCTCTTCGAGAACCCCGCGCCGCCGTACGCGCGCGACGACGCCAGCGCGTCGTACACCGGTCGCGCGTCGTCCTCCGCGCTCAGGAGGATCGCCGCCGGGTATTTCGCCAGCGTCGCCGTCACGCCCTTGGCGTCCAGCCGCAGCGTCTCTCGCGCGAATCGCATCATCCCGGCGACGCGTCGCTCGAGCTCATCCGGCCGCGCGTCCGCGATCGCCGCCTCCGCGGCCGCGACGACGTCGCGGTGCGCGCGCACCCCGCGCAGGACGCGCCTGAACTCGGCGTCGGCGCGAGCCTTGCCCTCGGTCGCGGGCTGCCCCGGGAGCCGCGCGTCCGCGCGCGCGAGGACGACGACGCGGTCCAGGAGCGCGTCCACGAGGGGATCGGCGTGCGCGGGCGGCGACGACGCGTCCTCGCGCCGCCTCGGTCTCGGCGGGCTCTCGCGCGCGCCTCCGCGAGGCGCGGCCGGTGGACGTTCGAGGGGAAGGTCGTCGTCGTCGTCGACGTCGACGTCGACGTCGTCCGAATCCGAGTCCGCGTCGGACGCGAAGGACGCCGACGACGACGACGACGACGACGACGACGACGCGGAGACCCACCCGCCGCGGGCGTCGTCCGCGTCGTCGAGCGCGTCGCCGAACCCGACGCGACGCCACGAGACGCTTCGCGCGCGCGATCCGCGTCGGAGCGCGCGCGACGACGCGAGGACGGACCTCGCGTCGCGCGTCTCTTCGCGACGAAGACGCGCGCGGCATTTCGCGGTCGCCAGAGAGGAGGAGGAGGAGGAGGAGGAGGACGACGACGACGACGCGCTCGCGCGCTGGCGCGCGGGGGACGTCGCGCGCGCGCGGCGCGGCGCGAGCCTCGCCCCGCGCGGCCCCGCGAGGGGAGGGCTCGCGTCCACGACGACGACCGCCATCTGCGCCGCGGGGTGTGCGCCGTCGCGCGGTTCGCGCGGTCTCGAGAAGGTTATCTGATGAAGGGTAGAGTATACGGGCACGGGGAGGGCGGATGCTGCGTGGGGGCGCGGGCGGGGTCAAAAGAAAAATTTCATAGGCCACCTTGAAAGCGCGAGAAAACATTGAAAGAACGACTTTCATCGGTGCGGATAGCTTGCCACAGGTGTTACAACACTGTTACAACTTCCGATCTTGTCCTCGCAAAACGCGTGCCAAACGCGTGAGAAGCGACACTCGTCGACGCACGACCCCGCGAACGCCGATCCGCCCGCAAGACCGACGTCCTCTCTCGGACGCCCGCCGTCAAATCGTCTGCAGGTGCGCACGATTGACCCCGCTCGAGCGTCGACGTCGCCGGGGCGCGGCGACCTTTCGCGCGATTTCTCGGTCTCTCGGCGACCCCTTGCGCGTCAAGACGGAAATCTTTCCCGATCCGATAAACGCGGACCTCTCCTCTCGACGCGCGCGCGGCCTGCCGGACCCGCCGCGCGAGAGATCGGCGCCGCGGCGAGGCATGGAATGTCTTCCCACCCGCTCCTCGACGAGCGCGAGCGCGCGTTCCCGTTCCTCGACGCGAACCTCATCTCACGAGTACCTTCTTTTTCCCTCACAGCTCCCTCGACCGACGATGTCCGTTGAAAACTATGAAGAAACCCCGCTCCTCGGCAAGAAGCCGCGCGCCACCTCTTCGGCGTGGCCCACGATGAAGAGCATCGCCGTCGGCGCGCTTTGCGTCACCGCCGGTTTCGCCGGCACGCTCGTTGTGACTGGTCGTTCCTCGACCGCGAATTCGAGTGCGGCGCTCGGTGTGCCGTCGAGTGCGGCGCTGGGTGTGCCACGTGTTAATGCTAACTACTATCCTAAGACTCCCGCTACACCGACGACAACAGTCAGTCAGGTGAACTTAGCGATGTCGCATGACTCAGGCTGCAACCCGGGCGACTACGCGAAAGGCCCCAACAAGATTAACGCGAACCACGGCGCCGTGACTCAGGGCGTAACGCTGGAGAAGCAATACCAAGCAGGAGTGCGTGTCTTCGACATCCGCGTCACAGATGACGCGCACCTCTTTCACCAATGGTTAGGGATGGATTACAAATTCGGAGTGCTTGATAGGATTACGGACCTTGGAGCTGCAGCCAGAGCAGCAAACGACATCTGCATCATCAAATTGAAGGGAAGCGCAAGACAAGTACAATCCGTAGAGAATGCGCTCGGCAGAATGACGTCCAACGCCGACACTGCGAGGGGCAATGGCAAGTACTTAGCCACCGCGAAAGAGCACACAGATTTCGACTCCAAAAAAACAAAAATCAACGACATCAAAGGCAGGTGCTTTGTTTTCCCTGACGATAGGTTCAAGGCCGCCATGAATGCTAAGAAACTTGAATCGGGTCAATTCCGTAAAATTATGGGGGGGGATCGCTCTTTTGGCACAATTCAAAAGGTGTTTGATTTGCACAAGGCACAATGCAAAGGCGGGAACGTCGTCCGCGCTGGATTCACCAACACTGGGGTCTTCAATTCTCCCCTCTGCATGTCCTACAAGGACCAAGCCGCCATCTCAACCAAACTCAATGAAATTTTGGCAAATAAAGCATGCAGTACTATTTTCTCCACGGACGGTGTTGAATCGATGATCGGTGTCCCGGACGCAGGCATCGTATCACAATGCAATGTGCAGAATCACGAAAACAACGCCGAAGCAGCCGCGGAAGAGACTGAATATACTTCGCCGGAAAACCCCCAAATCGAAACAGGAAAGACTGCTGCATGAACGGACTAAATTCGGAATCAACCATACCGTACATACCAAAGTGACATGAGCGTGAAATAAACAGTGTGAATACAGTACAGTATGCATGTGAATGAATATGAATGTGAATGTGAATGTGAATGAATATGAATATGAATATGAATGTGTGAATATTGACTTCTTGTTTGCTCACCACCGCCGCCGAACGGCGATGCCGCCGCCCCGGCCGCGCCGCCGCCGCCGCCTCCCCCGAACGCCCCCCCTCCTCCTCCTAAGTTATCCTATCATATCATATGATATCCTATGCAGGTACCGACGACCCCTCATCACGTCAGGGGAAGCACGTTAGATCAAAGCGCTCATCAGTTTCGCGCGTCGCGTTGTCGGCGCTCGCGCGCGTCGCGCTCCGTCACAACACGAACCGCTGCACCGCCTCGGCGACGCCGTCCTCCTCGTTACCCCTCTCCAACACGTGATCCGCCGCGCGCTTCACCGCGTCCCCCGCGTTCCCCATCGCGACGCCGCACCCCGCGAGCCGCAACATCCCGAGATCGTTTTCTCCGTCGCCGACGGCCACCGTCCGCGCGGGATCCGCGCCGAGGTGCGCCAAGAGCGTCGCGACCCCGCGCGCTTTATCGTTCCCGAGAGGTAAGATCTCGAGCATGTTGCTCACCGCCTGCGTCACCTCCGCGCGCGGCGGCCCGAACGCCTTCTCCCACGCCGGCCGCGCCGCGTCGATCGCCGCGGACGAGGACGCCATCAGGAGCAACTTCTGCACGCCGCCGGCGCCGACGCTCGCGAGCAACGCGTCCACGTCGTCGCGCTCCTCGCTGACGGGCTCGTGGTACAGCGCGCTGAGCTCGTCCAGCAGCGCGTGCGATCGCAGCGTCGCGCACGCGTCCGCGGCGAACGCGGTGAGCGCGACGTCGGCGGGGTTCGTTTTCTTTCCGCCGCCGCCGCCGCCGTAGACCATCGCGAACGCCTCTCGGACGACGTCCTCCGGCATCTTCGCGCGGTACAACGCGCCGCCGCCGCGGCCGTAGACGTCCAACCCCTGGAGAAACACCCCGGGGGTGCGCGGTCCCACGAGGAAACTCGAGAGGTCGACGCCGTGCGTCAGCGCGGTCGCCGCCGCGCGCATCGCCGCGGGGCGCGCCTTCCCCGTCGCGATGAAGACGTCGACGCCCGCGGCGGACGCCTCGAGCAGCGCCTCCGCGACCGCCGCGGTGACGAGGCACTCTGAGGGTCGAGGATTCGCGCGAGGCGACGTCGGGGTGGAGCGCGGGGGCGCGTCAGACGGAGTCGCGAGGCATCGTGAGCGAGGGGTGGGCGGATAGAAACGCGACGCGCGTGAGAAAAAAAAAGGCCTCGAGGGGACCGGCGGAAGCATGACGCGCCTTTGTTCAGCAGCGTGCCGTCCAGGTCGAGGACGAGCGTGTCCGCCTTGCGCGTGCTCTTCCCGGAAGCCGACGGCGTGAACGTTCGCACGTCCTTCGCGTCGGAGGAGGAGGCGGAGGACCCGCCGCGCGCGCCGGAGAGGCTGGTCGAGATCAATCCGCCGCCGCCGCCGCCGACGCCGCCGCCGTCGCCGCCGCCGCCGCCGCCGCCGCCGCCGCCGCCGTCGTCGTCGTCGTCGTCCAGCATCTTCAACAGCGCGTCCTCCAGCGCGGCCATCTCCCTCGCCTCTTCCTCCCCCTCCTCGTGGTCGTACCCTAAAAGATGCACGAACCCGTGCGTCAACAGCACGCGCGCCTCTCTCCGCGTCGAGTGCCGCATCGCCGCCGCCTGCCGCCTCGCCGCGTCCACGCTGATCACGACGTCGCCGAAGACGACGAAATCGCCGAACGCGTCTTGCGGGAAGCTCAGCACGTCCGTCGCGACGTCCTTGCCTCTCCACTCGTTATTCAGCGCGCGGATGTACGCGTCGCCGCACAGCGCGACGGACAACTCCGCGCGCGTCGTCGTGGGAGAGTACAGGTCTCGAGGGAGCGGCGTTCCGGGAGGCGGGCGAAGGATCCACTCGACGAGCTTCTTCGCGTCGGATCGGACGGCGTCGCGCAGGGTCGCGATGTCGATCTCGTCGTCGCCCGTCGTCAGCGGCGGCGCGGCGTCGTCGCCGTCGCCGTCGCCGTCGCCGTCGCCGTCGACGACGGAGACGTCCACGCGTATCGGCTCGTCGTCGTCGTCGTCTTCGGACCCGCTCGCGACGAGGAAGGGCATCGCCGACGCGTCGAAGTCGTCGTCGTCGTCGTCGTCGTCGTCGAGCCACGCGTCGACGTCGTCCTCGTCGATGATGTCGACGTCCTCCTCGGCGTCCTCCTCCTTTTCGCGAGAGTCGTCGGAAGTCGACGCCGCGCGTGCGAAGAGCGCGCCGCGTCGGCGGCCGAGGCACGCGCTCGACGCGGCGCTCAGACGGCGCCATCGGTCGGAGAACGACGCGGCGTGATGGCTCCGCGCGAGTAAAGGCGGCGCGGCGGGTTGAGACGCGGCGGACGCGCGCGGCACGCGCGTCCATCGCACGGGAGGGCGCGCGGCGACGCGCGAGGTTAGCATCGCGCGCGCCGCGCACGCGATGCGCGCTGCCATCGTGTGAGGAGCTCCGCTCGCGAATAACGTCATTTAGAGTTTGTGTTTTTTTCGTCGAACGCGCCGACGCAGCCATCACAGCCGTCGTTCGCAGCAGGGCTGTCCGCGGCATGCGCGCGGCGACCGCTCGCGCGCCCGCGCCGCCGCGCGCGCCCTCCCACCGACTGCGCTTCTCCACGTCGCTCGTCGCCGAGGACGTCGCGCGATGCCTTCGACGCCCCGTTTCGCGCGGATCTCGATCTCATCGCGACGCCGCCTCGACGAGTCGCGCGACGACGACGACGACGACGACGACGACGACGCGCTGCGGCGTCGGCGAGCAGATGGACAAGCAAGACGCGACCGCGAAAGAGGACGACGCGCGGCAGTACGGCGTCTGGGGCGTCGACGGCATTCGCCAGCGCTCCGCGTCGTTCGCGGCGATGGAGGCGGACTGGGAAGACGAGGTCGCGAAGTGCTGGACGCGCGCGGGCGCGAGCGAGGTGGCGACGCAGCGCCTCCTCATCCTCGGCGCGAAGTGGCAGAAAGGTGCGCTCGGCGAGATCTACCGCGACCCGGAGGCGGTGCGCGCGATGGTGGACGCGCTCGCCGAGCTCCTCCCGGGCGCTTCGCCCGCGAAGATCTTCCACGGCGAGCCCGCCGCGGCGCTCGTCGCCGTCGACCGCTCGTCGCTGTCGCGAACGCTCGTGGCGATTCGCACCGCGGCCGACATCCCGATGTTGGACCTCGCGCATGTCATCTCGCGCGAGCCGAGGTTGCTGACGCGCGACGTCGCGGAGACGTCGCGGACGTGTCGCGAGAGCGTGGCGGCGCTGAGGCGCGTTCTGTACACTGGTTCCCATACGACCGCGTCGGCGTGGTGAACGCCGTTCCTTAAGGACTTCGCCCGTCTCGTCTCTCCGCCCACCCCTCGCTCACAATCCCCGTCCTCGACGCCTCACAACTCCAACTGACGCCTTTGAACTCCACCCCGCCGTCGCTTTGTATGGAACGACCCTCAGAAGCGCGACGGGGTGGCTGCTAAACGACGAGGGCGTCGCCGCCGTCGTGGAGACGTGTCCTTCGATGTTGACGCACGACGGCGACGACGTGGCGGCGGCGGCGGAGATGGTGTGGACGGACGCGGGCGGCGCGGGCGGGACGCCGTGGGTGGAGGCGTTCGGGACGAGGGAGACCGCGGCGAAGTGGCGGGAAGGCGCGGTCATGGACGCGTTCGAGGAGGAGGAGGAGGAGGACGGCGGCGAACGGAAGGCGTCGCTGATGCGTCACGTCGTGGACTTCAGCGGGAGAGTGCTCGAGCCCGCGCTGAGACGGGTTGACGTTCGGAAGGAGAAGGAAGCGAACGGGCCGCCGAGCAAGACGCCGTCGACCAGGGGCGTCGTGTACGAGTAATAATTTGTAATAAATCGTTTTCGGTAAATCATCAATTTCAATTCAGCACGCGCGAGAAGAACCTGACGTCGGTTCGGCTACGGCGGATCCATCGCCAAGATGGTGATGAGCAAGATGCTCAGGGTGACCATCGCGAACTCCAACGGCCCCCACTTCCACGGCTCGGGCTTGAACCCGACCCCGAGGAGGTCGCCGACGCTCCCGAGGTCGCTGATGTCCACCCCCGCGCCGATCGGCATCACCGGAGGGAGATCCGTCGCGTCGTAGTCCCCCGAGCTCAGCCACCCCTCGTCGAACGACCCGGAAGAGACGCCGGATCCGGATCTCTTCTTCGCCCTCGCCGACGGCACGTCCGCCTTCATCCCCTCCAGGGAGTCCACCACCGCGTCCGCGAGGTCCGCGATGAACGTCGGGTCCGTGTCCAGCGCGGGAACGCGCCCCCACTTCGTGATCCCGCTCTCCTCCGCGAGCTCGCGATATTCCATGTCGATCTCTTCCAACGTCTCGATGTGCTCGCTCACGAACGAGATCGGCACCGCGACCATGGCCTTGCACCCTCTCTTCTCCCCGAGCTCGCGGATCGTGTCGTCCGTGTACGGCTTCAGCCACTCCACCGGGCCCACCCTGCTCTGATACGCCAGCACGTGCTCGTTGCGGACGCCCAGTCGCTTCAGCTCGTCGACGATGCGCGCGACGCAATCTTCCATCTCCGCCTTGTACGGGTCTCCGGCTTGCTCGACGTAGCTCACCGGGACGCCGTGCGCGCTGAAGAAGATTAAAGGCTCGTCCGGCGAGTCGAACGCGCTGTCCGGTCGCTCGATCTCCTTCTTGATGAGCTTCGCCATGGACGCGACGTACCCGGGTCGGTCGTACCACGAGGGAATCACCGTGTGCGCGACGTCGCGTTGCAGCTGCGCGTCTTCGCTGAAGATGTCCTCCAGAAGACGCAGCGACGACCCGGAGGTGCTGATGCTGAACTGCGGGTACAAGGGCAAGACCACGAGCGTCGTCACGCCGTCCGCCTTGATGGCGTCCACGGCGTCCTCCGTGAACGGCTTCCAGTACCGCATGCCGACGTAGACGTCGGCGCCCACGCCCTTGGACTTCAACGCCGCCTTCAACGCGGCGGCTTGCTCGTCCGTGATCCTCCGCAGCGGCGAGCCGCCGCCGATGGACGCGTAGGCCTCCTGCGACTTGGGCGCCCTGGAGTTGGATAGGATCGTCGCGAGCGGGGACTGCAAGAAGCGCAGCGCGGGCGGGAGGCGGATGATGTCCGGGTCCGCGAAGAGGTTGTACAGGAACGGTTGCACGTCGTCGAGGGTCTCGGGGCCGCCGAGGTTGAGGAGGAGCACGCCCACCTTCTCCTCCTCGTGTGCGCGCGAATCGGCGCGGGCGTCCGTCGCCGCGTCGTCGTCCATCGTGGACGCGGCGCCCGGGTCGATCACCGCGTCGAGGCGGCGCGTCGTCTCCGGGGATCGCGCGCCGCCGCCGTCGATCCGCATCCGCCGCGAACGGACGTCGAGGTTGTTTCGGGTAGGGCATCGGTGACGTCGACGACCCGAGCCGCGAAGGGACGACGCGCCGGACGCCGCCGCCGCGGATCGCGGAGACACGCTCGGGGGTTCCGTCCCTCGCGACGACGCCGCGGTGCGGGAAGACGCGCGCGGCGCGGACGCGGCGGTCGCGAACGTCGTCGCGGAGGACATCGCCGTCGACCGCTCTCCGCCGGCGCTTCGGACGACGAGCCGCCGGGCGCTTTTTCCCTGCTCTCTAAGCCACGTCGATTCCTCGAGCTTCGACGCGGACGGACGTCGGCGCGCGGACGGAGGCCGAGACCGAGGGTTCGATCGAGACGCGCGGCGATCGATGCGATGCGATGGGATCGCGCGAAGGGCGCGGGAGGTCGCGCGGTGGTGCGAACCTCGAGCTCGTGCGGCGCGCGGTGCGCCGGGAGGGAGCGCCGGCGGACGGAGAAGTGATGAAATGGCCTCTCGGTCGGCGCGAGACGCAGACGGCAACCCGCCGGGCCGCGATGAGCCGCGGTCGGCGGCGAACGTTTTTCACCCACCGCTCGGTTTCAACATTTGATCGCGTCTCCCGTTTCAACTGACCGATGAACTTTTTTTAATCCTGTCTACAGGGTACAACTGGGTACAAGCGCGATTCGTTGAGAATTGCAGCGCCAGACGTTCGTCGCGGGCGCGGGGCGCGCGAGGGCCGAGGAGCGACCGACGTCGCGATGGCGGGTTTCGCGGACGGCCGCCTCGTGCGCGTCCGCCTCGCGTGCAAGACGGAGCACGTCAGCATCGACTGGGACGGAACCTACGCGGACCTCGCGAGGGAGTTCGCGGAGGCGTTCGTCGCGGACACGAACGCGCCGCGCGGGTTGGAGCTCCTGGACGAGGACGAGGAGTGCCGCGCGCGCGCGAAGCGCGCGTTCCGTCTGCGCGATCGCACTACAGGGATGTTCCACGAGAACTTCGACCCGAGCGACGTCTGCAGGCACGACGTCGTCACGGTGAACTACGAGAGCTTCCACCTCGCGATGGCCGCGCTCGCGCGGAGGTGCGTTCTGTACACTGGTCCCCATACGACCGCGTTCGCGTGGTGAACGCCGATCCTTAAGGACTTTCCCCGGCGCGTCTCTCCGCCCACCCCTCGCTTTCAATCCCCGCCTTCGACGCCTTTCAACTCCAACTGACGCCTATGGACTGCCGCGATGGCCGCTCGCGCGCAGACGCGACGAGATCCGCGAGGAGAAGCGGCGCGAGAGAGAGGAGAAGGACGGGACGAAGCGACGGACGCTGAGCGACGGCACGACGGTGTCGGCGACCCCGAGCGCCGTCGCGGACGCCGAGAGCGACAGAAAGTCGCCGCGATCCCCGCGCGGGGACGGCGCGTCGGTAAAGCAGTTTGGGATCGTCGCGCGCCTCAGCGCGCGACTGCGACGATTCTCCCTCCGGAGTATGTACGCGCGGAAAGATCACCGCGACGGCGGCGGCGAGACCGCGCCGCGGACGCCGACCGAGCGCGCGCGCCGTCCC